TTGGCCTTCCAAAAATGGACACGACTAGAAATCAGTGGTTAAGTTTTATTTACAACACTGTTCCAGAACACTTCAACCCAAATATTCGGATGTGCAGCACATTTTATGGAGGACTGTTTACTGATCCTGGAAGAGTAGACTACAAAGAGTAGGCTGTTCTGACTCACAAACTGTAAGTACGTCTTTTATATTTAAAGAGTCTTTATATTTTTTTTGGGCAGTATAGAGTAGGGCTTGTTGTTTGTCATTTCTCCGATCACAAATGCAGACACGGTTTTATGTTTACGCGGCGCGATGCAACGTGTAAAAAGACAGTACAAGTCATTATAATTCATAATTATGTCCCCACTGGATGCAACGAATGCCTCGTTTATAATGGGTTTTCATGTTTTTCAATCATCGCTCCGGCCTGACAGGGCATCATCACAGTATGGTGAGGGGCGTAACATTTCCGTTACACGCTTGAAGTATTCGGCCAATCACAACGCACTGGATAGCTGGCCAATCACAGCACACCTCACTTTTTCAGACCGATGAGCCTTGTAAAAATCGACGTGTTTCAGAAAGGCGAGGCATAGAGGAGAAACAATAATGTACAGTATGTGGAAAATGTGTGCACAGTATGTGGTTCGCGTTTCGAACCACCAAGCATGAGAGCATGTTCTAGTACACCACCAAAACGAAATCAAGACTTTGTAAAAGAGCATAAAAGGACCCCTTTAACCACTCCTATCCAACCATGAATCTGCTATGAGCAAGCGGTGGAGTGGAGGTGCACCAAAATAAAATCCCGCCCTTTATTCAATATTCCGTTTCACTTGGAAATACAGGTACATCTGAAAAAATTTGAATATCATGAAAAAGGTCTATTTTTTGTCACTCATTTCAGAAAGTGAAACCCATATATTATATAGATTCATTACACATAGAGTGAAATATTTCAAGCCTTTATTTCTTGAGATTTTGATGATTATGGTTTACAGATAATGAAGTCTGGGTCTCTCAGTCTGGGTCAGTAGGCTACACAATCATGGGGAAGAAGACAGTCATTGACACCCTCCACAAGGAGGGTAAGCCACAAAAGTTAATTGCTAAAGAAGCTGGTTGTTCACAGAGTACTGTATCCAAGCATATGCATAGAAAGTTGAGTGGAAGGAAAAAGTGTGGTAGGAAAAGGTGCACCAGCAAGGATTTGGGGGACCTTCACAAGGAGTGGACTGAGGCTGGCGTCAGCGCATCAAGAGCCACTACGCACAGACGAATCCTAGACATGGGCTACAAATGTCGCATTCCTCGTGTCAAGCCACTCCTGAACCAGAGACAACGTCAGAAGCGTCTTACCTGGGCTGTGGAGAAAAAGAACTGGACTGTTGCTGTGGTCCAAAGTCCTCTTTTCAGATGAAAGTAAATTTTGCATTTCATTTGGAAATCAAGGTCCCAGAGTCTGGAGGAAGAGTGGAGAGGCACAGAAACCATGTTGCTTGAAGTCCAGTGTGAAGTTTCCACAGTC